CAAGATTGGCTGTTACGTACCTGTGAAGTTGCTGTGCAGACCCACGAGGGAGGAAGAAAGCGGCCATAGCCGCGGAGCATCGTCACAGGGTACCGGAGGAGAGAGAGAGGGAGGACAGAGGAGGGGCTAAAGAGAGAGAGAGAGGTGTGGAAGGAGGGACATCGGGAAGAAGGCGGACATAGCCGAGGGTGAAAAAAAAATTAAAAAAAACAATACGGAGAAAGTGAAGAAGAAGAAGAGTGAAGGAAGGGGAAGCAAGCGGTGAGGGTGACGAAGGGGAAGGTGCCGGCAGCCATAGCCGAGGTGAAGGGTTGACCAGGCATTGACCAGAGCGTTGACCGGAGGGTTGACCAAGGGTTGACCAGAGGGTTGACCAGGGCGTTGACCAAGGGTGTTGACCAAGCGTTGACTGGGGGTTGTCCGCGTTGACTAGGCGTTGACCAAGGCGTTGACCAGAGCTGCTGACCAAGATTTTGACCAAGCTGGAGTTGGTGATATCTCGCTGAGCCCTTAGCCTATCCCCTTACCCTGTGGATGTGCACYTACCCCACGGTACTTGCTGAGTCTGTCTGTCTACTCTTTCTGCATTGAGTCTCTTCTGTCCTAGGTGTTAGGACTCTGTGGATGAAGGATAGGGCCTTGCTGCCAAACCTGCACAGGGCTTAGTAGGACTAACCTCTACTCTGGCATCTGGAGACCTGGGCATGAGCGGCGAGCGCTCGTTAAACAACTCGTCTAGCCCAATGACCGGTACTGTCCGGCAGGTCTACTCAATTTCAGTGTAGAGGGTCCGAACTCCAAGCTGTGGGCTGAAACGAAGGCCGTCTTTAAGTGTTGAGGCCTGGTTGAACCACTACCCTACCGGACCTAGTAAGGCTGATGATCTGTGTCTAACGACTCGACTGTCCCGAGGGATACGAAGCCCTCCAAGGACCGGTACAGACCGGCGGGCTGCTCGGTGTGGCACAGTAGGCCGGAACGGCTGAGTTGTGGGCTGAAATCGCCAGGAAGAACCACGCTGATTACGTCGTCCTGACAGCGACGTTAAAGAATTCTTGCAGAGTTTGGGGGATCTCCTTAAATGCCTCCTGATCAGCTGTTGGTTCAGTAGTGTCAGCCTTAGAGTAGTTTGAGTAGTGGTCCTTAGAAGAGTCAGTCAGTGGGCCAGTGTCTGCGTAGGTCTACGTGGTGAGGAGTGGGACTTTTGTCGTGCACCTGGCACCACGATGGATGACTATCCGATGTATGGGTTGCTCGTTGGGTTCTCCCTCTGGGGGACCTTATGGCGTCTCCTCTTTCCTTTGGGCTTTTTGCCCACCTTCACGTGTAGAGTAGGGACTCGGGGTGGTACTTCCACCCAACCTTACACGAAGGAGGAGGAGGAGAAGATGGCCGCCGTCCTGAGGGAAAGAAAGGAGAAGAAAGAGGCCAAGAAGAAGGCCCTACAGGAGGAGCAGGTGGCCAAATTAAAAAAGATAGAGGAAGCCAGGGAGAAAGAGAGACTGAAGAAAGAAGAAGAGGAGAAGTTGAAGGAGGTGGAAGAGGAAGAGGAGGAAGACGAAACGCCATTGCAGAAGAAGAGAGTGCAGTACAGTGGCAGCAGAGATGATGAGATGGAGAAACGGATTTCAGAGTGGGTCGCCAACTTATCCTTAGGCGAAGAAGAAGAGGTGGCGATGTATATCTCTAAGGACGACCAAGACGCCGCCATGAGAGCATGGGAAGCAGAAGCAGATGTTATAAAGCGGCAAGCGTTGGAAGATGAGAAGAGGATGGAGTGGAAGTTGGCGGTGATGAAGGAGAAGAAGAGGAGAGGAGACGCGGCAGCGGAGGCGGCAAAAGAATTAGAAGAGGTACAAAAGATAGAAGAGCAATTAGCCGCCCAAGCTGATCTCCCAAAGAAAATGGAGGTCATAGCCCGAAATGTTGCACGCTTAGCGCGAATTCAACCAGAGCAGTATGACTTCAGTAGGAGCCAGCATATAGCTGTGCGTTCAATACGATTGGGATTTCGGGACTTTGCTCGCGAATTGGTCGGTGTTGTAGGAGTCGAGGTGGGCCACCGCCTTGACAAGACTGAGCGGTTTTGCGTTGGTGCCATTGAAGGCGTCAAGGCGGCAGCTCCCAAGGAGGAGGAAGCACGTCCTCCTCGCCGGGAGCCGGTCAAGGTCAAATTCCCTGATTCCTATAGTGGAAAATGGGAAGAGAACTTTGACAATTGGGAGGCCAATGTCAAGACCTATGTGCATCTGCAACAGGTCTGCCCGGATCAGCACGTTCTGATTGCGATCCATGCACTTAGAGATGAGGCCGCCAGCTTTGCGAGGTCCTTAGTTCGTGCCGCCAACTGCAATGATGATGCAGTTGCCTACTCATTCACTCCTCTAGTCGACTTCTTAAAGTTGCTGCGCGAGCGATTTGCTGATGTCGCTCGGAGTGTCAAAACCTCAGACAAGCTCCGGACGATCCATGCTCGTAAGTGGAAGAGTGCCAGGGCACTCAAGAGCACAATGGACGAATTAGTAGCTGTCCTTGACCACGGGGTTACAGACACTCAGTTGGTCGCCCTCTTCTATAGAGCTATGCCCGAAGTTTTTCGCGGGCACTTCTTCGCGAAGAGCGAAGACCCTGCCACCACTTATGATTCCCTTAGTCGTGAAGTGGTGGCCTTTGAGGCAAAATCTGTGTCAGTCTCCACCTTCTTGCACAAAGATTTGGATAAGGGAAAGCAATGGAAGGGCCGCACTATCTCTCGGCAGGTGAAGACTAAGGATAGTCTTGTCCTAACTTTAGATGAGGGTAGTGTGGATGAGATCCCCTACGATCAGATTGAGTGGGGGTTAGAGGAGGAGGACAGCGGTGTGGGCTAGGGGAGAACTTACGCTGCTGTCGCGGCTGGAGGGAGGCCGCAAGGAGGAGGACAAGGTCAGCGCCAAGGGGGCCGGGCCTTAGGGAGCCGGTTCCAGGGCGATCAGGGGGTTGGCGGCAGAGGAGGAAACCGCCAAGCGGGAGGAAGGGGTCAAGGTCTCCCGCAAAACCGTCCTAGGAACAGGTCTCCATATAGGGTAGGAGGATGGCACCCAAGGCTTCCTCAGGGTAGGCCTTGGGAAAGTTTGGGTCTGGACAAGGACTTATGGCAAAAACGATTGGACCGGGGCCAGTGCATTTTCTGCGGTGACCCGGGCCATATCATCAAATATTGTCCTAAGTATAGAGAGATCCGAACGGCTGCTCAAGGGCCAAAAGGCAGCCGCCGGTAGGGGTAGCAACTGCCCCTACCATTAGGCCATGTGGGGAACATAGTGCTAGTCGGCAAGAGACTCCCACACCACATGTGCCYATGGCAGAGGTTGCAGGCCGGTGTCTAGATTGCTGTCCAGGGACTGCTTGTGTTAGAATCTTTCTAGACACCTCCCTCACAGGCGTGGCTGATGAATTGAAGGAGAGGGTGCCCGCCTGGGCCAAGATGAAGAAAGAGAATAAAGGATAGCTTATATTACTAGATACAAAGATTTTTAGAGGTAGAGTAGGGGCCCTAGTAGAGTAGGGGCCACCCGCAGCTATATTAGTAAGAAAGCGCTGCAAAAACTGAAGTTGGGACTTAGTCCAGAAACTAACGGACCCCATAGTTCGTATCCTCGCGAACAATCGTGCTATGGTTGTAGAGGATTACATAGAGGGAGTCCAGGCGGATTTCTGCCTAGAGAAAGATGGGAAAGTGAAGAAGGTTCTCCACTCCCTGATTCTCCTCGTAGAAGACAGCCTCCCATTTGATATTGTTCTGGGCATGGATTGCGGAGAGGCAGCCGGGGCCACTCTCCATTTGAAGGAGCACGATTGTAGGCTCCCTAGTTTTTCAGGCGAGGCCAAGACTGCCCGCCTGTTCTGTGTCAAGAGCAGAGAATCCCTTGGCACATTGCTGCCTTAGTGCTCCTGCGTTCGCCAGATTAGTAAAAAAGGAGAAATTGGAGGAACAGGTTTTTGTTGCCTATGTTAGGCCAGTGACTGAGCCTACGCAAGAAAAGTCGATGGACCCTGCGATTGCCAAGCTGCTGGACGAGTTCAAGGACCTAACTGAGCCGCCGATAGGATTGGTACTGCGGCCCATCCAACACCGCATTGAGATAGAGTCTGGCAGTAGAACCCCTAAGGGCGCTGTGTATAGGATGTCCCCACGGGAGTTAGAGGAGCTTCACAAGCAATTAGACGAGCTCCTTGAGAAGGGTTGGATTAGGCCCAGTTCATCTCCATTTGGAGCGCTTGTCCTCTTTGTCCCCCAAGAAAGAGGGAGAGTTGAGGATGTGTATAGACTATAGGGGTCTGAATGCGGTTACAGTGAAGAATGTTGAGCCACTCCCTAAGATAGACGATCTTTTAGATCGAGTGCAGGGGGCAAAGTATTTCTATAAGATAGATTTGAAGTCCGGATATCATCAGATAGAGGTGCATCCTGATGATCAGTATCAGACAGCCTTCCGGACTAGGTACGGGCATTATGAGTTTATAGTGATGCCCTTTGGACTAACCAACTCGCCAACAAATTTTCAGCGGTGTATGAATGATTTGTTTAGGCCATGGTTAGACAGGTTCGTCGTAGTTTACTTAGACGACATCCTAGTGTTTAGCAAGACCCTCGAGGAGCATCAGGGTCATCTTAGGCAGGTCTTGGAGAAGCTGAGGGAAGCTAACTTCAAGGTCAATGCAAAGAAGTGCGATTGAGCAAAGACCCAAGTTTTATACCTAGGCCACGTCTTAGACGGAGACGGCGTTAAACCAGAGGATTGTAAAATCGCAACGATTAGAGACTGGCCCACGCCACGTACGCTGACGGAGTTGCGCTCGTTCCTGGGCTTAGCTAACTACTACAGGAAGTTCGTGAGGAACTTCTCCACCATCGCTGCATCCCTTCGCAAATTGTTGAGGAAAGAAACCATCTGGAAGTGGGACAAGGATTGCATGTCTGCCATGAAGAAGCTAAAGCAGGCATTGATAGAGTACCCGGTCCTTAAGGTAGCCGATCCGTCCTTGCCCTTTGTCGTCACTACGGATGCTATTCAGTACGGCATAGGTGCCGTGTTACAGCAAGACGATGGCAATGGTTATAGACCCGTAGAGTTCATGTCCGCCAGAATGCCTTCAGAGAAGGTCGCGACATCTACCTATGAGAGGGAACTCTACGCTCTCAGGCAAGCCTTAGAACATTGGAAGCACTACTTGCTTGGGAGGCACTTCAAAGTCTATTCCGATCATGAGACGTTAAGATGGTTAAAGACGCAGGCCAAGATGACACCTAAGCTTACTAGGTGGGCCGCAAAGATAGATCAGTACGACTTTGAGCTCAAGCCAGTCAAGGGGAAGTATAACGTAGTTGCGGATGCTCTGAGTAGGAGAGCTGACTACTTTGGGGCAATAGTGCATTACTTAGACATAGGGAAAGACCTGCAGCAGAAGATTAGAGAAGAATATGCACAGGACCCTATCTATAATGACCTCCTCACGAAGGTCAAGGAGGCCCCAGCGACCGAGCCAAACTACCGCACTACGGAAGGGTTGCTTTTTTTTAAGACTAATGTATTTGACTGCCTGTGCATTCCCAATAGCGAAGAGATCCGTAGTCTGATTTTGGGAGAATGCCACGACACAAAGGGTCATTTTGGTTGGCAAAAGACTTTAGCCAATCTGATGCGCGCATATACCTGGTCAGGAATGAAGAATGACTGCGTAGAGTATGTTCGCAGTTGTGAAGTCTGCCAGCGTAACAAGACTTCTACGCGTGCCCCGTTAGGTCTTCTTAGACCCTTGCCCATTCCGGATCAGCCGGGAGACTTAGTGTCCATAGACTTCATGGACACTCAGGTCAAGAGCAGGCATGGCAAGAGCCAAGTCATGGTCATAGTTGACAGTTTTAGTAAGTACGCAGTTTTTGTTCCTTTGCCTTCAGAGGCACGTACTGATTTAGTGATACATAAGTTTTTTGACTGTTGGGTTAGTGAGAATGGAATCCCACTGTCAATAGTTCGCGATAGGGATAGTCGCTTCACCAGCCAGAACTGGCAAGAACTCATGGGAGTGTATGGATCTAAGTTGTTGATGTCGTCTGGCCGCCATCCTGAGACTAACGGTCAGACAGAGCAGATGAACAAGATCCTACAGCAAGTTCTGCGCATGTACATTAGGCCAGATCAGATTAACTGGGATGAGATGTTGCCTAAAGTAGCAAGTGCGTATAATAACAGCGTCCATCCGTCCACCTGCCGCACTCCCAACGAACTGCACAAGTCCTTTAGACCGCGCAGACCATTTAAGGGACTCAACCAGGATCAGATTCACAGATTACCGCCCGGGACCAGGGAGTTTGCTGTACAGCACGAGAAAGAACTAGCTACTGTTGTAGAGAACCTCACGAAGGCCCAGCACAGGATGATAGAGCAAGCCAATAAGCATCGTCGCCCCTCACAGTTCCATGTAGGCGACTTAGTCTGGGTCAGTTCCAAAGAGTTTGCACCTGAGGAAAACATCTCGCAGAAGTTACTGCCCACCTATAGAGGACCGTGGCCAGTCTTAGAAGTCAAGGGCGGCGAAGACGGACCGTCCTATACCATAGAACTCCCAGCACACCTCCACACTTACCCGGTTTTCCATGCATCAAAGTTGTTACCTTGCCACACAAGTGATCAGTTTCCATCCCGTAGGTCGATGATCCCACCGGATATGGATGGAAGATATAACATCGATGGTATAGTGGCTGAAGATGTATTCATGACTGGAGGTAGGGGTCGTCCACAGAAACAGTACAAGGTTCATTTTAGTTATCAAGAACCGGAAGACGACCGCTGGTTTACGAGATCTGAACTTCTAGAGACAGCACCCGATATAGTCCGTGCCTATAAGAGACAACAGAGAGGTAAAGGTCCTGCCTTGGACTGAAAATTTCTCGGAGGACCTCGAATTTAGGCCGGCGGGAGTGAAACGGTATTCACCACTTCGCAGTAGCTGATGCAGATCCCAGGGCTCGATCCCTAGTTCCCCCATCTTACCTGTGTACAGTACCGGTGTCAACCTGTAGATTTGAACCTGCGACCTGTAGGACCGCCAGTGGTAGGTAAGATCTCGTAGGTTACAGGGTAGAAGGGATTCGAACTGTAGACCTGTCGGGTAGGAGTCTAGGCAGTCTAGAGGTCTTAGCTGTAGACTGTCCGAAGGGTCAAAGTCGTAGCTGCTACTTACCTGAAAGGGCAGAGTCGTAGCTGCTACAGTACCGAAAGGCCAAAGTAGAGGTTTCTAGAAGTGGCCTTTCGGAGTCAGCCCCAG